GGCTTATCTTGACTTTATGGAGACCAGTAAGCATCTGCATTGGTGCTGGAGGGGGAAGGGGTACAGCTGTTTCATGTCTTGCGAAGTTACTGAGCTGCCCACTCGGGGGGTCCAACTCGCAATCCTCCTGCCTCAGTCTTCCAGAGAGCTGGAATTACATACATACACCACCATGCAGGGCTCGGCTTTCTGGCTTTCTCTTTGACCTTGGAAGACATCTAGGTCTGAGGATGTGACCTCACATCTTCAATGGCTGAAACTTTATCCTGGGTATCTCCTGATGTTGTTACTCATGTAGAAAGACTGCTTGGTCAGAACATTATGGCTTAGCGTTGGATAAGATGGGATAAGATCCCCCTACCCAGTCAGGAGACAGTTTTCCAGGCTGCTGAGGTTGTTCAGGGATCTGAAGACAGATGTCCTGTGGCTCTGGAACTGCTTAGTGTTAGGGCTTTATTGCCAGAAATGGCCATATCCAGAAGTGATTTGCCATTTGGGTCTTTGTTCAGTCTCTCAGCTCCCTCCACTCTGCATTCCTGTAAGAGGTTTTTGTGTGATCACGTCTATGGGGCCTCCTACGTGCATTTTCAATGTGAGTAGGTGAAGATACTACCTTATCTCTCCGTTTCTCACCTAAATGCCCAGTGGGCCTCTGGCTCTCTTTCTTATGTCCCCAGAGGCCCATGTTCAGAATTACAGGGTCTCACAGTCATCATGATTTTCCACTGGTTGCTGGTAAAAGTATTGAGTGAAGTGTTGGCTGAGGAGTGGGAAGAGGGAGGCCAACAAAGAGATCATACACAGGGAGTCTGTGAAGTCTGTTTTAGGCTTGTTGCCTTCTGGATGGTCATGGCTGCCCTTACGTAACATCTGCGAGTCTCACAGAGATGTGATGCAGGGCTCTCTACATTGCCTGTGCTTCATGTTAGAGTTGGGCATTGCTGATGGTCCCTCTCTTGGGGGGCACATAGTATCATCTCTCACACTGACCCCGGTGGCCTGGAAGGGACCACTTGACCTTCTCGGACCCTAGTTTTGAGTCGAAGCAGTATGAAGATGGTTCTAAAGAGAAGAGATGCCCCCAGATGAAGCTATCACTACAAGATTGGCTCCTGTGGCCATAGAAAGATATGACTGGCCCCAATGGAGAGAGCTTTAAAATCTTGTGAAAGAATGCAGCTCAGAGAAATTTGCTTCATACAAGATAGGATTAAAAAAAAACTCAGTGAATGTTTAACTTGAGAAAAATGTATTGTAGTAAAAGACATATTGTTATTAATCCCCCCAAAATCCTCCCTCTCACTTCAGACACACTTATCTCCTCATTCCGGCTACTTTATAAAGCAGTTCTGGAACTCCTCTTTCATGAGTGTCTTCAGTTGCACTATCACGACTGCCTTGATGTCCTGAATCAACTCAAAGCATTTACCTTTTGTGGTCATTTTGATTTTGGGAAGGGGCCAGGATTCAAATATGCTTGATCTGGTGAATGAGGAGGATAAGGTCAAACCATGATGTTTTAAGAGCCTGCCTTTCTGTTGGATGGTACTTGGCAGCAATATTCACTGTATTTTCTTTTATCACACTCCATGAGAACATTCACAAAAGAGGACTTCCAGAACTGCTTCAGAAAGTGGCAAGGACAATGGAATAAGACTGTATGAAGCAAAGAGGAGAATTTCAAGGGGGATTAATGAGAATGTGTCTTTTACTGTAGTTTTTAAAAGTTTACTTAAACTCCTACCATATGTTTTGACCTGCCCTTGTATGCATTAACAGTGTGAGGCTGAGAGAAACAAAGAGGGCCAGGTTGGTCCTTGCAGCCCTAGAAAAGATAGATGCTCAAGGGTGATCTTGTGCTCAGTGCCAAGCCAAACCTGTGAGTTCCTGGTCTGCTCAGCTGGAGAATGAGAAGAATCAGCATTCTGAGGGGTGTTTGGGGTTTATGTAAATAAAGCCCATGGGATCATCCCACAGCAGCCTTGGAACTGTCTCAAGGAACTGACACTAATCTTTAGAGGATAAACAAGCTGTAAGAGAACCTTGTAGTTGTGCTAAGGGGGGCTGGGAGTTATAGACCCACTTCAGTGTGATGCAGGAAACTGAGAAAACTTCCCCTCAGTTTCCTTAGCCATGAAATCTACTGAATTTCATGGCAATGTATATAGGAAGCCAATTTGTGAACGATGAAGGGGCAGGAAAAGATTGGGTAATGAAAAATTGAGAATATGTAAATGCACTCTGTAAACTATAAAGCATCTCATAAAGTAGACATAATGCTGCACAAATATCCAGAATTTTCATTTTTATAAGATATGCAGGTAGTTACAACTTCTTTTGCTATAGGATGTCTTCTAAAGTGAGTGATGATGTCAGGTTTTAGGGCTTCATTTCTTGCAGTTACTCTTAAAACCGATGAAGAGGGGGACAATAAGGATAACAAGTATGTCTTAATATTTCCAAATGGAGCTTTTCAGGCACACATGGCTAATACCAGAATGCAGAAATTGACTATGGATATCTGAGTATGCTTGAAAAATAAAAGCTGCTGTCCAGTTTAATAACGATCTCTCAGTAGAGTAATACTAATTAGTAATTTTCATAATCGTAGTCTTTTGTAAAGTATTCTCATAAGAATATTCACTTTAAAACTTAGATGAGTAACTTCAAATATTTGTGTCTACTTTGACTGCAGAAATAAGCCAGGAAGGAGGGTTTATTTTTCTTTGGGCAGGTAAATATGAGAAGATGGATGGTGCGTTAAAAAATAAAGAGAATGGTGTCTCCAAGTGGATTTACATATTGATTACTTAAATTACTACTTAATTTAGTGCCTGCTAATAAACTGTGGCTTGGAAATGCTTTGTGAACATTTATTGTCTGCAGTAATTCTACCTACAGTGTATGCGGATCACATCCTCATTAAATATTGATGCCCTCATGAAATGTTAATAGAATGTTAATGTGAAATACAACAGAATGTGCTTGCTGGGAGCTGGAGCCCAGGGCTGGCTGAAAACTACCTGTCTGCTCTCTTTTCTTTATGTCCTGTCTTCTTGCTTTTTTCTCCCAGTTTCTTTCCCATCGTCAAGAGATTCACATTTGCTTCTTTGATCTGGCTGTCAGATACAAAAAAAAAAATTTTTTTTTAAAGAAACAAGATTCACTGATGGATAGGGATTTAGTTATTCTCCACTCCTGCTTTCTCTACTAGAATTCCTAGTTAGGAACAGAAAGGGTTCCCTTGAAAGAGGGTGATTCAGCCCAGGGTCTGATAAGAGTCATCCTGACAGGCTGAAAAGAGGGTGTGAGGACTTCAGGACCCTGGTGATGGCCAAATACATGGTAACATGTATGTAAAGCCATTTGTAAATGATGCCAAGTAGAAATTTAGTTGGTACTTCTAGTCAGTGTTCTCTCAGAAAAACCAACCAACTCATAAAACCTGTTACCCAAAGACATTTTAAGGAAACATTTTTGTCATAAATCCCAAGGACAGTAAAGACTACTATGTTCATGATGACACTCATTGCCTATTTCCTTGTGGGAACTTGTGTTGTAAATGGTTAAAAAATCCCACAAAATAGGAGAGGTCACCAGTTCCTGGGATGCTCTAAAATCTATACAGACTGTCCCGTGCCTTGGGGAGAGCAGACTGAGCATGCAGATGAAGGTGGACAGGTAAACATGACAGGTTGGAAGGAGTACCCTCAGGTGGAAAGAGCAGATGAGGTGATGGCATTTTATGACAGAGGCCTGAGGGGGTATAAGACATCAGGAGCCAGAAGATAGGGAGTACACATGTATATCTCCTCTGGTATCTTCTCAGAAAACTACTAGGATTCAATTATGGTGGCTCCACTCCGAAGGCCTTATCCAATCCTCATCACTTCCTTATAGCCCCACCTCTAAACACCATAGTGAGAGTAAGTTTCTGACCTCTTATATCTCAAAGTAGGAATTAGATTTCCACACATGAAGCCTTGGGTGACACACAGTTCATATCCAAACCATAGCATAGGGAAAACAACAGTAAGTCACTGCACAGCGTCCTTGTAGATGCTGCCGAGAGGCAAGCATTCAAAGTGAATCTACTGAGAGACACCTGACGATGTTTCCTGGACAAAGAGTTAGGCGTAGCTTCCAGCAGGAATAAACTGTTTCTTTTATGAAGTAAGCAGCCTCCTCAGGCTTCTTAGACTTTTGTTCTTAGATTTGTTCCTCAGAGTTTTGTTGTTGTCTTCTGCTTTTATGTGGAATGATTCCCGTAGTTTTAAGTGGTGGAGCAGCTCACACTAGCTGGAGGACAGAAGAGAATATCCTGGGTGGACTGAAGGATTTTCAGAAGGAGGGAATAAACAAAGTATAAGGATGAGGGAATTAGCTGTGCTACAGGAATAAATGAAGCCAAGACACAAATCCTCCTAAGGCCCTCATGGCCTCTTGTCTCTTATCTGTTGCATATTGGCTTCGTTTTCATATTTTACATGCCCACATCCAGGTAACTCCTCTGCTTACAACTGACAAGCAGGTCAGCATAGTTGGGCACATGTTCCCCAGTCCTGATTTGGCCAGTTGATGGCAGCGGGGGAGGTCTGGTAAAAACATGGAAACTTATGTGGGAACTATGCAATTGAAATGTGGGAGATGGAGTCACAGAAAGAGTTATGTTGTCTACTTAAGGAAAAAATAGAGCTAGAGAGACAAGAGAGTAGTTTGTTACTCAGTAAGACATCTTTATTATACACTTTTGAAAAATCTTCTGCAGATACTTCTGTATAAATGGCAACCAACAAACAGAATACCCTCTTGCAGCGCTGAGAGAGTTGGAGGAGATTTGGAAAACATGAGAAGTCAGGGTCCTACGCACTCTGTGTACTGTTTTATCCTGGCCCCAAGAATCTGAGTTTGGGGCCCTGGAGTGGGTCTCCTGATTTCTCTCCTAGAGTGTAGCCAATATTCTTGATGTTCCCAACCCTCTCTTCCCTTTTCCCTGGCAGATTGTACTGGAGAACAGTAGCCGAGAAGACAAGCATGAATGTCCCTTTGGCCGCAGCAGCATAGAGCTGACCAAGATGCTGTGTGAAATCCTGAAAGTGGGCGAGCTGCGTAAGTACACTTGTTCCCTCGTGGGTGTGAAGCTTGGCCGGCTTCAGGGTTGAGCCCCAGCCCACAAAGATTTCATCTGGATATCACTGCGGAGGTATCATAGCTGAGTTTCAAATACTGTGAAAATGAGCATCTATTACAAGAACCTTGTTGCTAGTTAGGAAAATAATTTGTGGATTTCTTCTTTGGAATTCCAGTTTATAACCTGCCAGTAGATTGTGTTCTTTTCTTTCTTTCAAAGTGATTTTTCTGTATTAAGAAAAATCGAATACCTTAATGAAATTCGCTTGCTCCCAGTGTTTCTGTTGTTTGGAATACTTTCTCTAAGAAAAGAAATTATTGAAGAAATTTGGTGGCTAAAAATGAAAAATGTGGTCAGAGATATGCTTATGACTCCTTTTCTCATTTATATGATAAAATGTATATGGGGACATGGAGGAAAAGAGGAAAGATCATTTTCTTGTATTTTGCCCATTGTCATGAGGGTGAACAGGACTTAACCTCTTCATGCTGTCATTGCTGCTCTGAATCTCCTGGAAGTAGCTAACTTCCCCTCAATCTTTGTGTCTGTGGAGCTGGCCACATGTAAATCTCTCCTCATAGGCTTAATATTGTGAGCACCAGAGAGGACTGTTTATATCAGGAACACGTTGTGGTGTTTGGTGTCATTGTGCAAGCATAAATATGCAGTCATCTGCCTGGAAGCTAAAACAAATGGACTAGAGTGATTAATGGAAAGAATCTGATGATTAAATTGGAAAAAGGAGTTATGTTTTATTAACGTGTAGAACTGAGTATAGGTGCTGCTGAGATAAAATAGGAAAATTCAGTACTGAGTGAAGAACACACTAAGAATTTCAGCCTGTTTGAGCAAGCAGGGGACCTTATCATCCTCCATTGAGAGTGGGTTGGGGAAAGAAGCTGTTATTGAAATGCCACGAAAGCTCATTGCTTCTGAGCCCCACCAGGAGTATTTGCATGGGGACAGTGGCAACCTACTCTGGAGGGTTCTGTGTTCATCTTACCTCATATACTGCTCCCTGAATGTTGAGACCTTGGTTTACATGGGTCTTTGACATGTCTTCTCCATCCTGCTCCCTAATTAAATTAAGTCATTGAGACTTCAGGCTGCAGTATGGCTTGCTCTTTATCCTGATTAAGGATGTAAACTCTAAATCAAACAAGTCCTACTGAAGTTTCCCATCTGATGACAGTGACTGTGTTTATACCAATTTTATGGGAGGAACTGTAGAAAGTCACTTACTAAAAACTGTTTCAAGACCATCGGAAATTTTCTGGAACTGGAAAACAGTTCTGTTCTCCTGCGCTGGGATTTCTGGGCCTGGGTTTTTGTCCCCTCCTTTGCTACCCTCCCTGGCAACATTTTGGCTGCTTACTCTCTCTTACCTTAAGGATAGCAGGAGGGATGTTCTTTGCAATGTCCATACCCAGCTTTCTGCTCCCTCCTTTGCCCAGCAGACATGTGTCTGTCATGTTACACAGTAACCCAGGAAAGAGATCATGGTATAGGGCAAAGAGAAGGCCGGTAGTAAGGGCACCTGATTCTGTCTCTGCCTCTTAGCACTGTTGTGATCCTGGATACATTGCTAACTTCACAGTGCTACTACAGCCACCCATCTTCCTGCTGCAGAATGTCCAGAAATGAACAGTTAATATTTAGGGCATTGAGTAGAAGTTTTCATTTTCTGGATGGACTTGTAGAAATAGCAGTGAGGACTCTTTGGGGACAGAAAAAATACAACCTGGTGTTGAGATGCGGCTGGCTTGGAAAACATGACCAGAGTGTGAGTAGGCAGGGTTTGTGCGGACTTGTGTCTGGCATCTTGGTCAGCAGGGCCCCACCTGAGATGGCAGGAGTCTGAGCCCTCAATCCATCTTAGGTGAGTGTGTGCTTTGTGCTTGGGGGCCGGGTGGATGCAGCTAGGGAGCAATCTGACCCCTGGCAGTGCAAGGCAGTTTTTTCAGCCCCTGAGGCATTGGTAGTCAATCTGGAAAGCACGGTGAAACCCTGGGCCTGTGAGTAGCGGTAACACAATGGAGACAAAGGCAAGCTCCTTACCCATCCCTGGAGATGAGCTAGATGCTCCTCCTGCACTGTGCATTCCAGCTCCCACCTTCTGGTGGTGAGAAAGGCCTGGCATTCTGACCCAGCTCCCACAACCTCTGCCCAAGTGGTCTGAGCAGGGAAACTGGGCTTGGTCATCTGGGGCTTGGCGCAGTCAAGGTGGCTCCCCCGCTTAATCTGTGATGACAAGCACATTTCTCCATTTGGCCCCAAAGATCTACTGAGTGCTTAAGATGTGCAAGGGACTGTGGTGGACCACCACAGCCTTGAACTAGACTGGGTCCCTGCCCCTCCAGGAACTTCCAAAAGCTTCTCAAAAGTCAGAAAGTGGGAACTGATATTTGTTCCCATCAGCTGAAATTCCTTGTATTTTTAATAAATGCATATTATCTGTTCAGAAGCATAATTTTCTCAGTGTTTTGGTATTTTCCAGTTTGACCTATTGCTCACCAGCATCTGCAAAGGCCATTCTGGACATTATTTTAAGGCTTACAAAAAACTATCATGTTTCTGAGGCCTATATGCCGAAATGAGTTGTTTTGCATTCATAAAACATTAAAGGATTGCTCCATTCTGATTGAATGGTAGACACCAAATGATAAAACACCCCATGGTAAGAGGAAAATTGCTTTTTTAATGGATTGCTTTTTGCCTACTGCCGTATTAAATAAGTTACTAATATGAAAAACAAATCTGCATCCACCCTTATGGTGAAAGAAATATCTGTTTTTCTTCCCAGGGAAATTAGTTTCACACCCAAATCCATCATCCTTTGATTTATGTGCATCTAGTTTCCTCACCCTTAAGTTCACAGTTCTGAGCACTTCTCTGATGTGTGTTACTAATTGACCTTGGAAATCACGGTCATTTTAGCTCTAAGAGCAAATGCTGAGACCAAAGAAGTACTCAATTAAAAATCTAATTGATTTGGTTGGGGGGAATAAAAAGGATATTTATGAAAGTAGAAAGTTTTACTTTTCTATATATGGCTTCTTTATTTCAATTTTAGGTCTCTTGAGGAAACCTACTTCTGAAATACCAATTATATTTTGGTGTCAAAAGCAAACATATGAATGCTCGATTAAATTGATGGTACTAAATAATTACGTACTTTCTAAAAGATTGCTTTAAAGAAAATACTCTTTTCTGCTTCTCATTTATTGACTTTGCAAGAGGCAAATGTTATCTCTAATAGTGTGGCCCCAAATAATATCTATTTATATTCTCAGAGCCCTTCAGCAAGGGTATGTAATTGAAGTCTCTGCACCCCCTCCAGGAAGTCACCAAGGTCAATACCATCAGTGTCGATCCATGAAGGGAAGACTTGAACTGGGCCTGTGTATTTTGTGGGGTCACTGTGCTCAGGCTGGTGTTCAGGATGCTGAAGGGAGGTCACCTTCCTGGAAAGTGGGCAGAGTGTGGTGTGGTGGCATTTTGGCACCTGAACGGCATTTGCATGATAGCTCAGCTACTTTGTGGAATCCTCAGTCATATGTCTCCTCTATCCCTAAAGTAAAGGTAAGACCTGCTGTACACAGCAGGTGGGGGGCTTAAATGAGATAGTAGATGTTGCTTTAGTTGGAATATGGGTAGTTTAGTGTTTATTTTTAAATCTCGTTCTTTTTCTTTTCTTTCTTTTTTTTTTTTTTTTTGCAAAGGATACAATCTCACTACCTAAAAACAAACTGTTGGGTCAATGAGATGGGGAGGGGCCTCCCAATTATGTGATAGGAATCCAGACTTGGTGCACCATCCCTTGTTTTATCACTCTATGTGTTTGCTAAAATTCAGTTTATCCAGCCTACCATATCTGTGGAACAAATTCAGAGCCAGAAACCACAGATTAAAAATATTTGAAAAAAATGCATTTATACTGATCATGTATAAATATTTTTGTCCTCCCTGTCTAAAACAATACAGTTTAACAACAATTTTCATAGCCTCTCCATTGTATTAGATATTATAAATGAAGACCCATCAAAGTACAGACAGATGGACATAGGTCATATGCAAATACTATGTCAATTTTTATAAAGGATTTGAACATCTGAGAATTTTGATATCCCCTAGAGATTCTGCAATCTACCTCCCAGATACCAATGAACAATTTTATTCCTTTAAACCTGCTTTCTCTATGAAGCTTTCTTGAGAGTGAGATATGTTTCCCTCAGTTTCAATTTTAAAAATCACGGAGAATACTTGTAAACTGGATGTGGTCATATGTCCTCATAGCCTGGGTTGTATAATTGGCAGTTCCAGTCACAAGAACAAAATTGAAGTAGGAGGAAGAGCAGGTCTTCAGGAGAGATGAATTCACCAGCATGGCATTGGTGAGGGCAGATGGAGGTAGGGTGGAGGCATAGGTTAGACAAAGCCATGGGGCTTATTACAGATGAGAAGCTCTGAAAAAGATACCTACCAGCTTCTGCATGGAGCAAAAAATGTGGTAGGAATTGTTATTATATCATCTGTGCCATTAGAATTAATAAATTATTGCTTGGTATAAGGGAAACCTGATATTCTGATTCAAATATGTTAATTGCTTATCCTTTGACTATATATAGCTCTGTACCCAGTTGTGTTTCAATATTAGGTGGAGTTGTATTTCTGTCTCATCTGTCTGTCCAGACATCCATCTGTTCCTCCCCCCCAACCCCCGTCTCATTCAGTAAACACAAGGCAGTCTCTTTGAGTCTGATCTTACTAATCACAGATGACAGGATTTCAGGCACATTCTCCAGCTTTAAGCATAGCCCTTCTAGTACATATGATTATGGAACCCTTTTAGCATTTGTAACTTTACACTGAAGTCATATTGCTGTTTCTGGGAGGCAGTGTTTGCTTCCTTTTCTTCATAGAGAGCTAGGCAGGATAGGGAAGGGAGAGTCTCAGGAGATATGTTGGAGAAAAAGAG